ATATCCTTCTGTTGAGAATTATATACCATTTATTTTCCCTCTGTACACATATCCTGTGTGTGTTCCCTTTGAAAGCTGATGACGATGACGTCCCATTTGAGCCATTATTTATTGAGGCATGAAGGGTGGCTAAAGTTGCGCCTAAAAATAGATATTCAGATATTTTGAGGGATTCATCGGCCCCTGACAACGGAAGAAGAACTTTTCACTAACAAGATTCGGCAATTAGCCACAATTTTACTACGGCTTCTGCCCCGGCTGCCAACTATTTAAAACTTGGCAAATTTATCGGGGTGAGCCCGAGGAGGAGCATATTGTGTCGAATGGAAAACCCCAAGTTGAGCACTTAGACACGAATTGAAATAAAATAAATAAAATTAGAATGCTGAGTCTCCCCCACAAAATGTTCGCATTTATTCCCATTTCATTCTTTTCTTTTCTATTCTATTTGGGGGAGAGCATCTGCCATTCCCTTAGCGCTTTCAAGACGCAGATAGAAAGCCAATTTTATGACTCAACTTAAATAGGCACTTTACTTTTGCCTCTTAATGCCTTTTTACGAGAGTTGGCGTTAGTGGTGCTCGCAGGGATCCGCGACATTAATGATGGCCACTCCCCCGCCGAGCAGGGAGAAGGAGGCTTTATTGGAAAATAAATGGGCGAATAGTCCGCGGCAAGTGTGTGGCGCACTTATCTGATTTTACACTTGCGCCCATAAAAATTATGACAGTCGCAAAGTGAATCGCTTTTCGCCGAAAAGGCACAACTTTTAGCCAAGTTGCAAAGTTGCGAGGGCAACAAAGCTACAAAGCAGGCATGCGTGGGCCATTTTGCAGAATTTCAATTAAATGGTGGCGTTGGAGGAAAACTTTTCGCCTCCTAGATCCTGGAACCAGGAAAGTCTGGAGAAGCCGAACCGAAATCCTCGAGGTCAGGGGACCGGGCCAGTTGACGCATTTACACACAAATTACCGCCAAGTGTCAAATGCAAACATTCCGTCGACGACAACAGCAAACGACGACTGTGGCAACAAACAATATTTGCCATAAAAACAGAGAGCGACGGGAAAAGTTTCGTAATGAAGCAAACTTCCGCCAGACTCCAGCCACTTGAAGTTTACTTTAAAAAATTTCAAGCGAACATTTTAGAAGCTGAGCTGAGCGTCTAATTGATAAATTTCAGCATTCGGCCATACATTTAATTAAAACTTTTCAATTTCAGTCAGCCAGCCAGCCAGCTAGCTAGTTGCAGGCCCTGCCAATGTTTTATGGTCATTTGTCCCCGTGCACTCTCGATGGCCCCCAAAAAGTTGGCCCTCGAATTTGTGTCAATTGTTGGTGCCTTAAATAACTGCCACCGCAAATTTAGTTGCAGCTCAAATGGAATAAATTATTCCAGCGAATCGGAAATGTACTCGCCATTTATTTGTGTTTTAATTAGAGAAATTTATGCGCACAATGTTCGTAACATTAAATATGAAATCAAATGAAATTAATGAGTTCAGCCAGAGCTTGGAGCACAGGATGTCGCTAGCCCGCACAATTATCATAATGATATTTGCCAAACGTTTTTTTTCTGTTTTCTGCAGCCTTTAATTTAATTGATGACAACGAGAGGACATTGAAGCAATTAAATAAGTAAATTTGCGTATAAAAAAATACAGAAATCACTCATTTAGATCTAATTTGGTAACACAAAAAATAAAATGTTCATGGTTTATACAAAAAGTATATAAGAGAATTCAAAAGTTATGTTAAATTAGAGTTGACCCTAATTTTATGTTTGCTTTACTTTATTTAATACTTTAAAGGTGTCGAAAATATACAATGGCTAATGGTTTAAGCTGTAAACTAATAAACTACGAAAGCATTAATTGCATGTAAAAACCCTGAACCTTACTTTTAAGGTATACTAAATTTTGGGCCGATGTTTAATTCTATCCCATTTTCAAAGCAAGATAAGTGAAAGTAATGATTTGCAGCAATCTAAATCCTCATTGATATTATTATCGCACCTTTCTGGATTTAAAAAAAATTCAGTTATCATTATTCCCTTACCGAAATTTGAGATATATTGCAGCTTGTTCAGTCGACATTGCGTATACGCCATGTGTGGTTGTGTTAGCAAGCAAACTTAATTAATGTCAAGCCATGATGTCAGAGGCAACATAAATATTCCGCCAGTGCCAGTGGCACAGTGGGGCGTCGACACGAGCGCACATGAGAAATCATTGATATTAGTTGAGGAGCAGCAGCAGTCCGAAGGGCGCGACGAGCGGATGAATCACGCAGCTTGCAGCGAACTTTTGATTAAAATGTCGTAGCAAACACTGGCAGGAAGGAGGAAGCTGAAGGGGGGCTGTGGGGGCGGGGGCGTGAAACTTTGGCGAATGCACACAAATTGCGAATGTTTCGCCAAACGAAAAGTTGGCAAATCCCACCGAAAATGTTGCTCTATCTGTATGGCTCTGAGCTGCAACATGTTTGTGGTTGCAGCAGGGTTTAGATTCGGGTTTTAGGATTGGGACCAGCTCTCGTTCTGGTTCTGGTTCTGGTTCTCTCTCTCAGCCTTGGCGGTGTTGACAATGCCCAGCACCGACCGGCGGTTGCACAATGCGGAGCCGGTTACCGATTCCCAAGCCCAGACCGTGAGCCAACCGCCGGAAACGAGAAAAATTCGAAAGGGAAGTGCGGACTCCGGACTCCACCAAACTCGCCGTGAAAAATTCAATTACAAAGTCGCACAAACCATCGAAAGAATGCAAATTTACACGCGGGCCAGGAGAAAGTGCAGTCGAACTGGTTCAGAAGCTGTTTTGCGGTCTGCCAGCGACCATTACGATTACGCTTACGTATGTAGCTGGGGACTGGGGGCCCGGAAACTGGCAGGAAAAGCTGCATGTCGCAAGCATTCAGTCACGTGCGAACGTGACGAAAATGCCACGATTCAGTTTTGGCCAAGTTCTGCGTGCCAATGAGGAGTAGCAACAGCAACAGTGGCAGTGGCAACACCAACAGCAACATAGACAGCAGCAGCAGCAACATCAGGAGTAACAGCAGCAACACCACAAGCAATCGCATTGTCCCGAGCTGGTTATTTGTTTGTTTTGTGCGTGCAAAGCGAGTTGTCCTGACAGCAAAGGCACTGAGAGAAAATCCAGACTCACTATTAAATAGGATTTTTGATAAATAGAAGGGAAGGGATAAGTAACATAAAATCTTTCATGAAATGTGTACAGGGAATGTGTTCTTATCCCATTAGGTATTTTTACCCAAAACTACATATTCTTGGAGAATTTTAAAATTATAATTCCTCAACCCTATTATCCTGAATGTTCCCTTCAAAGTCCTTGGAAATTACCCAAATATTTCTCTCACTGTATCCCAGCTTCTGGGTAGCTTCTTCGTATTCATAAGGCTGCAGCCGAAATACAATAGAAAAACCGCAGAGTGCGAAATGCCAAATACGAGGAGAAATCCTGACTGACCTCCAGGCAAAACGGAAGGAATAGCTCCTGGCTCCTGGCTCCTGGTCCTGATCCTGGGCTTCTGACTCCTGAAAGGCTGCAGTTGCAAATTGCTGTGGCAACGAAGTCTTCTCCACATGTCAATTGAAGGAGGGGACGATTTCTAAGGTGTCAATCAGAAGAAGCTGCATTGATTGACTCGATTGTTCGCTTGTGTCACAGCTGGGTAAATTGATTTTCAATCCCCTGGAGAAGCCAAGCAGAAAGCGAATTCCTCTTAAGTCTGGAAAGTCATAGAGAATTCCAGGGAAATGCCTATGGACCACCTCACGATTAATGGCAATATCCGGCCAACGTCTTGGCAACGTGCTAATTAAGTGCCATTCCACAAGAGCCTCTGCAAATAGGCCCCTGGCGAATTCCATAACTAATTAATTTTGCATTACTCAAAGTGCAAGGCGCCTTGGCCAATGGTCTTTTGGTCCGGCCTTCTGGTTTGGTCTGTAAATTCAATCATTGTCGGGACAACATAATAAATTTCACAATGATTGGCATGCAATATTTACGGCACGGCCACTGGACACTGGACACTGGACACAATTAGAGGTCCCCATGGACGTGGTCAAAATGAAAGCCAAACATCAACATTTTCTGCACATTTTGTGGCCAAGAAATCAAAATCAAAACCGATCCCAAAATGCATTGGGCATAATTGAATTTGCAGCCCGGCAAATTTGGCCTAATTGAGGCTGCTAAACAAAACCCAAGCATGTTTGCCAAAAGCAATTATCTTTAATTGTGAAATATTATTTTGTTGGACCAACGAATTTTACACAAATTACGCAGCGCAAATAAAAGCAGACTCAGGGCCAAATGGGTACGGACGGGTTTGGGTTCAGGTTTTGGTAATATGTAATGCGGTTGAGAGTCTGCGGGTGAATTTTCTGGCTATTTCATATGTGTCTGTGGGTCTGCACCATGGGAGCAGGGTGAAAGGTTACAGAATGCCGAACTAGGGGGGCGACCAGTGTCCCGATATGGATAAATAGTAACCCATGTATATATTATAAATAAATAAACATTCTAAATAATTTATATTTCCATTTAGGAACCTTGTTAAATTCAAGAACATTAAATGTAGACCAAAAATAAAATACCTCCCAAGCTTTTTGTCTTAATTAATCATCAAGTTCATAGAAATCCCTACCATAAATAAACCTGTTAATATTATACCTTCCCACTAGCTCCTTAGACTCCCAGTTTTAGCTTGGGGAAATTCCACGGAAAGCGTAACAAGGTCAGGAGACTTAATTAGTTCTGTCAGTTTATGCAGATTTCGTTGAGGGGGGCCTAGCTAATGAAAATCCTGATGTAAAATATTACGTATACGCACGCGCCGGGCGCTCATTCAAATTAATTGACTTCACGCTGTTATTGTTTATCCGACAAACTGTTGCGGCGCCACCGGACAGCGCATATATTAACACATTTTATAATGTCACCGTCGCCCCTCTTCTCTCTCTCCTTTTGCAGACCACACGGCCTCGGCATCATCAGCATCGGCGCCGGAGGGTGGAAGTGGACCATCAGAAGCCTCCACATCCAGCGCACAGCCATCACTGCGGCATATAAATCAAAATTTAATTATGTCGCAGTCCAAGGAGGCTGAGGCTGAGCCAGAGCCAGTGCCCGTGCCGCAGCCTTACGCTGCCCAGAGTCCTGGACCAGGATCCATAGCTGCCGTGGGAGGAGGAAGTAGCAGTGGCAGTGGCAGCAGCATCACCAGCTTCGACTCCACGAACGTGATCGATGACAAACGCCAGCCAACGCCCACACACCTGCAGGAGCCGCAGCAGCAGCAGCAGCACTCTCACTCCCATTCACGCATCCAGGCGAAGGACACGGCAGGACCCTATCCCATACCCGTCCACCGGCCAGAGCCGCATCCAGGGGAGAATCATCTGGAGGCTGGAGGGAATGGCCTGGACGGTGGCCTGGACCTATTCGGCACGCCCATGTACTTTGGCACCGAGAACTCCACGGTGGTGACCACGCAGATCGGGGCCACCGCCCATGTACCCTGCACCGTCCATCACATCGGCGAGGGTGTGGTGAGTACTCCTCCCAGCATTGTTTTAATATTTTATTAAATGCGAATCCATCACTGGACGCTTTGTTTGCTTTTGATGATGACTTTTGTGCCAGTTTCTTCTGTCAAAGAACTGGATTTCACTGGACTTTTCTCCATAATTGAAATGGAAATGCATTGAATGTTAATTGATGAGAGATTGATCAGAAACTGATTGTTTTAGTAAGGTTTTATTCCAGATTACTTTGACTTAATGAGCTTAGGGTATGGGAGTTCCTTAGACTTGGGTTTATTTGGTTGAGTGCTTGGGTTATGCGGGGTTTTAAGTTTGAAGGATTTAAGAAGTTAAGAAGAAGAAAAAAAAACTTAAACTTTTTCATATTTTGTAGTTAATTAAAAAAGGTTAAAAAAGATTTTTTTGAAAATTCGTAGAATTTAATCCCTTTAACAAATCAATTAATATCATACTATATACTGCAGTTAAATCTTTTTATTTAGTTATTTTTGTTTGATATCGCGAATACCGCCCCATAAACGTCTTCGTTCGATTCCCCATTCTGGCTTATTTGCTCTCCGCTGAGACCACCTTCCACATCTGGCCGGGAATTTAATTAAGTCCCTATGCTTATCGAGGGCACTTGTGTCTAAGTCTTCGTTGCGGCCCTAAGGGCAAACTCATATGGTAGTAAACACACAGATTTCGGACATTTCTGGCTGAGCAAAATGGACAAAAACACACATGCGAACGAGGACAGACTGTCAGGACGAAAGGAGGAAAGAGAGAGCGAAGGAGACAAATTACACCTTTCGCTGTTTGGGTGTGTGGGTTCGCATTGACATGTCATGGCCTCAAGTCGTATTAATTTTCCGCTTGTCTAGAGTTATTACTCATACGCCGTGGTGTGCGTCACGTGCCGTGTATTTGTTTGAGCCCGAAGCCACGAAGGTGTTTATTACCACCACAATCCTCTCCGGGAGCTAACTGAAGCTGGTCAACCCGCCCCGAAAAACATACCGAAATGACCCCATGTCCATGTGCGTGTTTGCTGCGTGTCTGGTTTAAATTGACGATTTCATAATTGCGCCTTCAAGTGTGCGGAAGTTAATAAGCACTTAAGTCCTGTGAGTGTGTGTGCTCTTCGGACGGCTGCGTGCTCAAGTGGGTATAGGTAGGCTTATGTGGGCCAGGAGTTTGGGGATCGTCTCGACCTAATAAGTTGGCAATTTGTATTATGGTAATTGTATACTGCACAGGCCCAGCCTCGCCTCATTGAGGTTAACAAAATATTATCATCGTGTCGTGGGGCCAGAGCTATTCTACTCCCAAGACTCAAAGCTCGGGGCATCGGGGCCTTTAATTGCATGGCTCTCAAAGCGATTCTGCTTAATTCGCCAGCTGCATTCATTAGGTTTCAGCCCTATTTACTATATAAATGCATATATATGTACATATATATGTATTCACGCACTCATTGCGTAATTGGCACACAGACAGAGAGAACGCTAGAGAAGGTCCCCAATGAGTCGGAAATTTCATTGGCAGCACAGGGAGAAATGTAGCCTGGCTCTTATTTCAAGGATATAGAATTTAATGTTGCTAAAATATTTCTGTTTATATTTTCAAAGAACAAATTAAGTTTCTGCCTTATATTTGTCCATGTTATTACATCCTTTTAAACAGGAAAGTTGAACACTTTTGTGAGAGGATATATCTCAGTCGAGAGTTGGAATTTATCTCCTTAACAAACTCCTTTCCCATTTCAAGTATGTATATTCCCAATATTCTACAGTGCTCACCCTGAGTCATGCAAACTTTAAAGCTCTTTGAGAGGCTGCAACTCCTTGGTCTAAATGGGAAATGCACTTTCATTTCATTGCCCTCACCATGTGCGTGTGTGAGGCATTAAAATCTCCTGCAGGCATTATGCGAATGGCAATGGGGGGATGCGAGTGCCAGTTCAGTGGACAGGAAATATACAGCTCCAGTCTCAGGCAAATGATTTCCATATTCCGGTTCCAACTCCTCTGCACTGCGGCAGGATTCGCAATTGAAATGCCTTTGTCAGGTGTTCGTTTGCCTTTGTCTGATGTCGTGGGGGGAAGGCGAAGAGGCTTTTCCTCCCCTTTTTCACTTAAAGAATACACACTAAACACTTCCGCGGATCCGATTTGGACGTTTTGTTTTTGTGCGGCGGCCTTCGTAGTCGTAAATTTGCTTTGGACGACAATAAAATGCAGGAAACATTAAATAAATGAATTGCTTCCTTGAGAGAGAAAGCGAGCGCGCCTTTGTTTCGGCATTTTGCTGCAATTTTCATTTTTGTCGCACCATCATTTCGCAGTGGTTGGCTCTTAAGAGGAAAGGATGAGTGGAAATGGGAGTGGAAATACCTTAAAGTTAAGCACACTTAATGCCTTCTTTGTAAGAACGCTGTTGACAACTTTCCATTAAAGTAATGCTATTAATTACGAGCTTTTTCCAGGCCCAAAGACAAATCTTCCTTACGCCCTGAAATGGAAATTTTCTGGCAAATTTAAAGCCCATAAATCAAATGACACAAGCAGCAAGAAGAGTCCTTGCACACACACACATGCGAGGCACGGGGGGAAAAAGGATGTGGAAGAGCACTTCGAATTAAGAATTACGACACTCGAATGTGGCTGGGCGGACATTAAAATATGTCATTAGGGTATTAGTCGAGAGCAGCAGCTTAAATGGCATTTAAAATAAACTAAGCAAATACGTGCGTGCGTCCTGCGTCAGCCAGAGGACTCGGAGGACACCCAGCAGCATCAGCAGCAGCAGGAATCCTTTGGCTTTGCCGCCAGCACTTTCTGGCTCATATAAATTGAACTAAATCAGCACTCGAGCAGCAGCAAACAGTCACTGCAAAATTTTTATGGTACGACCAGGACTAGGGTTAAGGGGTCCTTACATAAAGTAAAGGGATAAAATTGGTATGTGTGGGAAGGATATTAAATTGTTTAGAAGTAAAAATGCAATTTCTAATGTACATTATTAAACAGAACAATTGACCTAATAAATTAATAATACTTGAAAAAAATATTTACTGCCTAAAAATTTAATTTGTATTTTGTACCGATAAATTCGAGGAATATTTATATTTTTTTGTGTAGTTAAGTTGTAATTTAAGTTGAATATTTTCCGTTTCCCTACAGCAATCACTGTAACCCATATAATATCGCGTATATGTATAGATGTCTCTTGGTGACATTCAGTTGACTTGCTGCCACCCCTTTTTGGTGCCCTCTTGACCTGCCACCTCTGCCCCTCTGCCCCTCTGCGTTTAATTCCACTTGCTCGAGCGATGCCAATGCCAATTCCCATGTTTGTCCTGTTGCTCCTGCGCCCTGTCTGTGTGACTTGAGCACTTAATTACTTTTTAGATAAATTGTCGTTTTTAATGTCTAGACTCGCCTGCTGCTGTCCTGGGATATTTTCATAGAGAAAAGTAGCAGTAATTAAATGTGCTCACAGCATGCCAGGATTCGGAAGGATCCTGGATCCTGCATGGCGCCAGGCTACACTTCCGACAAAAGGAGAATGCGAAAAGCTTAAATGCTGAAAACTTGAAAATGCTCGCCGCCACTGAGGCATTTTGTCTCCCTCAGATAGAAGGTAATTTATTTATAATTCTCTGGAAAATGTTCACCAATGGAGATTAGAAAATATAATTGTAAGAGGGCTGGGGTAAGCCGAATCCTCTCTCTCTTCCTTGGCTTTTTGCCTGATAAAAATACCGAAATTGGTATTTTATGAAAATTAACGCCGAAGGTCCTCGCCCTCCGGTTCGGATCAGTCGTTTAGATAAAAAAGGTTACGCAAATATTTAAGCAGAGCACTGGAGCATAGGTATATGTATGAGAGTGTCTGCGTGTATATCCCCATATAATTTGCAAAGTTTAAAATCAGATAAAGATGGAAATTGCCCTGGTCCGAGTGAGCCGAAACCCAAATCCAAACTGAAACCAGAAACCGAAGCCATTTAGTTTGCCTGCCAGCGCAGTGACTAAAAACAAACAAATATTTTAACTAGCAGCACACATTGATGAGGGTTGGCAAAAAGGATAATATACAGGATATGCCCGGTCTCGCTTAGCCGAGCTTAATCAAAACAAACACATAATTCCTGCACAATCATAATTTTTGCATAGTTTCACCTCGGCTGCTCCTCGCAAATTCGCTGTGCAAATTCTCCTCAAAATTTTTTGGCACAAAATGTGAGTGTTGTGTGTGTGTGAGTGAGTGTGTGCTTCTGCATGAGTTATATTCCTTTGTGGAATTGTTGGGCGAACAAAGTAATACACATTGTTGTTCGCCAGTTCCTCCTTCAGTTTCTCCATTTTTATGCGAACTCTATGTGTTTCTCATTTTTTATTGCCGCTGGTATATGTGTGTGAGTGTGTGAAGGGTAGGTCCTCGCATTCAAGTCGCACAACAGCAAACAAGAGGCAAGGACCTCAAACAAACACAGACCCACTCACGCTCACACAAGGATACCAGCAATGACACAGTGTTGTGGCGCTTAAAAAAACATAAAATATTATAAAATATTTTACTGCCAGGCCCAGTTATTGTTGCAATGACCTTCGGGCCCTAAATATATTATATCTTTCTCTGCTGCGCCCAGAATATCTGTATTTGTATCAGGAATTCTTGTTTGCTCAGCTGCCTTTTACCCGCAGGAAACGTTGAACTCATCACTCTATATATACAATATTTTGAGGGTCCCGCAGGGTGACAGTTTTAAATGGCAATAACAGTTGGCTTTTCCGGTTATTTTTCCATAATATTTGTGATATATTTTTGACTTAAAATACATTTAAATATGGAACTTTCAACTCCACCCCTACAACTAATAAATATATATTCTATTGCGCATCTGGAAAGTTATTTTCAGGACACTGGCTCTTCTACAATATTCATATTCTATCAATCACTTTAGAAAAAGCTCAGGCCAGGCCATAAAAATGTCTACTTTGAGAATCCAATTTAATTAGAAATATCGTTGGGAATGTTGTCTAGCAAATATAAACACAGCAAGGACTAAGCTCATTATAAGACCAACAAAGCGAACTCAAATGGAAGGAGGGCTGAGCCGACGCGACGGTCCGAGAAGTTAATGTGGCTCGAAAATTGCCATAAACCTTTTTGAATGAATACAAATCATTATCACTTTGTTGCTGGCAGCCTTAACCGTAATTAAACCAACTCAACTCAACTTAACTCAAGGGGACACGGACTGGCAGGACAATGGTCGTAGAGTTGTTTGCCAGCTAATAAGACATTCTGGTCGACAGCTTGATGAAGAAGGCCATGCGGCCCCCAATGAGTGTCCTTTCTGAATGCCGGTGCACGGGAAAAAATTAGAAGTAATAAATGGAAAGTAGAGGTATATAGTTTTCTATATATTTCCTAACACTTAAGTATAAAAATATATTTCATGTAGAGGCTTTAATACATACATTCATATTTCTTTGAAAATTTCTGAGCTTTTACCAGAAATTTTGCTCGCTGTAATCCCCCTGCTCTTGCCTGTCACAATGTTTATTAAAACAAATGTCCCGAACAAAAGGCTAAATTTGACCCAGATTTTTTGTTTGAGCTCTCTGGCATCTTGTGAGTATGCTGAATGGCTTCATCATTTCTATAAACTTTTCTGGGGCCCCGTCCCAAGACAAAGGCGGTGAGAGGTCTGGCCCCAACCTAAAACAATTAAGTCAGCTGGCAGGACAGGCAGGGAGAAAAGGAGAGACGTGTGGAGGTCAGAGTTCAAGCTTTCGCCTGCACAAAAATCTTAATTATTTTAATTGCAATGCAATCATCAATGGCTGGGCCTCCCCAAATATAATGCCAGCCATTAAATTGTGAATGGGAATGCGAGCAAACAATCGCATTTCACGCAGAGCCGCCGTCGCCGTCGCCGCCGTCGCTCGTTGACAGCTGCTGAAAAGTAGGCTATGGTAATTTTCATTTCCACTTATTTTTCTTTGTTTGTCCTGCGGCTCTTATCAAAAATAATGGCTGATTGTTTGCTGTGTTTGCCTGCCTGGCTGAGCCCCAAGGCTGCGTGAATATGGCAAAATATTGGTGGAAAATATTTGCATAGACACCGGGCACAAGGTAATCCCCCCAAGGGTCCTTTGTTTGTGCTTATTAAATGAGTGGGCACCGGAATAAAATGAATGGTTAAAACTAAGCCTCAACGGAGCCCTGTGTCCTGCATCCTTAAATGCCCTGCCGCTGCTAATCCGATAATCCGCTTAGGACGAAGCAGAAGTTCTCGTCGTGACACATCACCTTTCAATTTGCATTTCAATTCATCTATTTCATCTGTTAGGTTTTGATTGCCCCGATTGATCGCCTCCAACTTAGTGTGAGTTGCAATTAGTGTTTTCAGAGTGACTGGTTAATTATGCAGTAATTGCACTTAATATGCATTTCCGCTGAATTGAGCTCGATTTGAGTTTCGATTGCCCTCAATTAAGTATGCAATGGGGGCGAAGCATCCTGATGAATCGTGGAGGCAAGCCCCATATCGCTGTGTGTGTAGACGGAAAAACTGAATTTAGTTGCAGGCAGCACAAAAAAGTTGTCAGCTCAAATATTTACTCGTATATGCATTTTTGAAAGACTTAAGTTGGGCTAACAGCACAACCGCTATAGAATATTTTCAGACAAAAAGAATTGAAATATTATATCTATCTAATATGTTGGAGTAAACATATAAACAGTTAATAAAGCGAACAACAACTATTTACATTTTCCTTGCTTTGTATTCTGTATGCATATTTAATCATGAGAAAATAGCATATATAGTATAAATGCTGTATTTAAGTATACAAAATGGAATCTTCAATTTTCGATTCCTGTCTGACTCCCAGGGAGTTTAAAAACTGCTGCCTGTGGACGAGCATAGTCCAGGGTTAACTCTCCCAAAAGTTCGTATAGAGGACGGGCATGCATGGCTTCTAAAACCACTCTCAGAATATTGGTTAGTTTCGACGGCATTGGAGTTAGCTCAAACGCATTGTCCACAAATCGCAAATTTTGACGCGCTCCCGGAAAGAGCTTTGCCATTGTACGGAGCTGACTGGGCAGCAGACTGATCGATGCGATATACTCGCGCCGATCGTCAAAGACATAGCACTCCATACGAAAACGCCGACATGGTGTTGGGGGCCAGCCAGGAAAATTGAACTCCCGTCGCACGTACATCTTAAATTCCAGGAACTGGGCCAACCGAAAGAAAAGCTGCAAGTGCTCATCTTCGGGACACAGTCGCTCATTAATTATCTCCACCAATAGACCCAATTTCGAGAAAGCCTCTCTGACACTGGGATTGCGCATTCTCTGTGCCAGGTGACAAAAGGCGGCGACAGAAAAACTGGCAGGCAGCAGGAGAGGATCATCGAAATAGGTGAAGGAGGTGGAAGACTGGTCGGTTACGAAGTCAAAGTCCAGAGACGTGGATGATAATTCCAAGGGAACGTGGTCCAAGGACTCACGCAGCATTTGCGGTTGAAATAAGACTTTTAATCCACATGTGGGTTTTCTATTTTTGATTTTTTCCTTTCGACTAGACTGTGGAATCCCGCTTGTTGGATATTTCTTGATTAGCGTCGGGGTCTGTTGACGTTTGGCCAATTTCTGTAATTTAATCCATTGATGTTTACGTCGAAAGGTTTCAGCAATAACAACATTACGCTCAGTTTTGTCCTTTGGAATGGTGCACCTAGCATGCCGTCGCCTATATGCATAAGAAGGTAGAGTATTACGAACTCTTGGTTTAGAATTTTTCTTGTTCAGGTTCTGCTGACTGGTGTACTGAAATTCCCACAGAAGTTTTCGTCGCAGACGAAGCTTTCGTCCTTGCTTTAAGCCCTCGATATATGCCTCGCATGCCATGTGGCCCTGCATTTTCACTGGAATTTTTGGCTGCTCCAGAGATCGAATGCCATAGATATTTTGTTTCGGAGGAGAAACGCCCACCGGCTTCGATGTGGTGCACCGATACGAGAGCCTCACCCAATGTCCCTTGTACCAAGTCCTTCGCACTGCCTTAGATGCATCACGAACTATCTCGAATATCTGGGTCTGGATGGGTGTGTTCTTGACCGCGTCTTCAGACTCAATGTATCCTGTGCAGTACACAATTGAGTAGTTATCCGCTCCGTGATTGCGTTCGATTAGGCGAAGCTCCTCCTCGGTCACCGTGGTAACTCCCCGGTGACTGCGTTTGTCCAGTCGATAACAGTGCACTCTGTGGCAATATTTCTGTTCCTTTGACGACTCCACAGGTGTAATCAGCAGCAGTATTTTACGTAGATCCTTACAGCCGCTTCGTTCCCGAATTAAAGCTTCAACGTCTAACTGGGATTTAGTTTTCTCAATCTCTCCCAGTCGTACCTCAACGGGAAGGTTTGCAATCACTGTGGAACGACTCTGACCGCAAAAAAGACATTTGTCGATTAACTGGGTCCCGCTATCTTCTGAGCAAAAGTTTTCCCCACAGAAAAAATCCAGAGCCTGCGAAATATCGTCACAGAACTGCACCATGTTAGCCAAGTCGTCATATTCGGCTGACGACATGGCAATGGATTATGAAATTGCCACGATTTTGTGGCTTACACAAAATTTTGTTGGAATAAAGAGGCCTTGGAAAAGAAATTTGTTAAAAATTTTTTAAATCACAGATAATTTTCTGTATTTACTCACTTAAAATTTTCTTTCAAAATATTCCTGAATTACTAAAAATATATAATGGAAACAATACCGATTTTTTCACAGACTTTTGTAATAACTTACTACTGGTTCGTATGAAGTGTACTGATATAATGACTAAGTTTTCAATGATAGATTATAATGAAAACCTCAAAATATATGAACGACATAAACCCCAAATTTATATATTAAGGTATACAGATTTATTAACCCAATGAAAACTAGCATGGTAAATCTTTCCGACGTTAAATAATTGAATATTTGGCATAGTTATGAATATTTTAAACTTTGATTGGTTGTATAAACTGTCACATAAAAGTATCAATAAATATATTTCAAAGAATGTGAAATCTTTAAGTTTTGTTATGATCGATTTCCTATAATTTAGTTGCAAGCTGCATGGATATATATACTTCGACTTCCCCAAGTGTGTTTCCTTTCTTGTTTGAAATAATACATACAGCTCAGCTAATAAATAAATAAATAGACATTCTGTCTTCAGAACTAATGTGTTTTATTCCCCAACTCCAGGTACATTTATATTTATATTTATATTGCTCTGTGAAAAACTTGCTCGACTGATAAACAATTTCATAAAACGAAAGCTGATTTCCCCGTCAATACTCCCTTCGGGATCCTGAGAGTTCCACGAAAAAATAAACACACAAAGCCCGGGCAATCATTTGTTCGGGGCGGGACAAGTTGCAACCCAAATGGCTGCTGTTGCAACTACTGTAGTTTCTAAATAGAATTTTATTAAAATCGCTTGTTAAAAACTTTTGCACATTGAAAAAGTTGCAGCTATTTTCCTGTTTGTTTTTTTGTATTTTTTTTTTTTGTGCCTGTTCGTTGGCCGTTGGGATTGTGGCAGGGCGGAAATTGGTTGGACAGCGGCGCATAAAGCACACAAAAATGTGCGTCAATAACAGGCAACATGCAACGTGGGTCCACATCGGAACAAAAGCCAATCAAAAGTTTTTCGAGGGCGAAAAAAGTAAAGTAAATAGGAGCTTCGATGCAATCGGCTGTGCATAGATTTAGCCACCAAGCCCAGCAATTACCCAATCACCCTAAAACCCATCTAAATTCCCCCTCAGGAAGCAGCCGGAGGAGTTGGCCCTTTCCCACCTCGGCAAGGGGACGCACCTGTCAGAGATCGAGATACCGCGATAAGTCGACATATTGTGGGATGGGTTGGTATTAGAAAATACACAACTGAGGGCAACAAAATAGTGGCCATAAATAGAAGAAAACTTTGTGACTTTACAGAACATTTTGAATGTGAAAAAAGAGTTTCTTTTAAACTCAAATATTAGGGAAAGAGTTATAATGTATTCCCGTACTACTATACACACTTAAGGCTTATGGAAAGTAATGTTTATTACCTATTTATTTATCTGAAATAATTTAAAAAATTTTGTGTAAGACAGTTCAAGGGTTTTCTATTAATTTTAGATGAGTTTCCTTTCCATTTCAACCCAAAATATCTCCCTGAACTTATAAACATTTTTATAAAACTTGATTGGAATCCTTTTAACTACCAAATTGACGGGCAGTGTGGATGGGGGCGCCTGCCTACACACCTTTGGGGGAGCTGTTGGCGGTACAACGCGGCAGACAAGTAGTTAGCATAAATTTGCCATAAATTCGCTAACAAGTGATTTGTGGTGTGTGCGCTGTAGCTTTTGGCCATAAATTAAGCCTCACTTTTTATTTTGCATACACTTGGCAGGGAAAGCAGGGGGGAAAAAAAGGTAAAATGTAAACAATTATCTGCGTGCCCGCAGCTGCAGCCGCAGGAGTCGCAGGATCCATTGGAGATGCCACACATGCGTTCCGAGGACATACGACGGTGGCGATGGCAACTGAGATTTATGCGATTCGCACACACCCCAACACACATGCAGCCACATAAAAAGTCCTGCCAAAAAGAGAAAGGAATTCGCAGGCTTTTGATTAATTGCCGCCACATTTACTCATCGCTGGTGCCTCACTTGGCACCACTTTCCACATTCCGCTCGAGAAAACCTTCTTCTACTCTCACACATTTTCTCCTTTTTCTCGAGCTTTGCCAGCTCGACTCTTGTGTTTTTCTTCTGGCCAGCTGCATGGTTTATTTGCAGACACGTAGCACTCGCAGTCGCAGTCCCTTTCGCCTTCATAAATATCATAAAAATCCTAAAAAAAAATATGGGAGAAAATATATATAGTGATGTGTGTGCCGTAGGCGGCGGCGGCGGCTGGCGTCGTCTAGGAGCTGCGGGCCAAACCGGAATTTATGCGCAATTTATGCCCCACACTCGGATTTTACTGTTACAGATTGTATTGAATAGATATATGTGGAAAGATTTCGCTGGCATATGGTGGGGCGAAATCTTGATAATAAACGACTGCTTGCCATTCAATTGCAAATTTCCCACCCGCCCGTTGAAATATTGTTTCTTTTTGTCCGAGAAAAACTGCAGGCCACGCGAGTACATATTGGTTGGGATATTCCCTAAACTGAAAGTTTCCGGGATTATGATGATATTTTGGAAGGAGAGAGTGCTCTGCCAGGGAAATCCCTCGACTCGCACCATTTTCCATCCTCAAGTGCCGCTGCCAGTGCTGCGCCACATTGCGTATACGCCGCATTAAACATTTAAGCACGGAGACTGTAATTCGTTTTTATTGGCAAACGCAGCTGATTTAACAATTTCGCCGCCGTTCAACTTAATTTCAAGTTGCCTCGTGTCTCGAGTCCTTTCCCGTATCTCCTCGCATTTCGCATTTCGCATTTGTGGCACTTTCAGTTTGAGTTTTTCGGAGCTCGAGCGCGCGTGTGTCAATATTTGTGGGAAAGGAAAATGCTTTGGCAGGGCAACAAAGTTAAAAGTACATGCTCTGGCTCTCCCCTGTGCTCTTCTTACTTCGTTATTCCGTTATTTTTTTGTTGGCCAATAAATAAAATCCTTATCAATTGAAAATTGATTGATACACGCGCTTAGGTGCTTGTGCCTGATCCTACCAGGGAGTGCCAGCAGCAAAATCATCATCTTCGGCAGGCAATAACCCCATATGGACAGCTAATAGATGTGTTTTTTGCAAGGGAATGCACTGTGAAAATATCTCTAGGGATATGCGGATGCTAACGAATATTTATGAATTTTTTGGTAATATTCTTAACCTTTAAAATTACTCTATATATACGTAGATTAAACTTTTATCAAAGTAGAACGATTTGAAGCTAAAGATTAATTGTATATCAATTATTTGCATCATAATTTGCATAAGCATTCATCATAGTTTCCTTCTTACAAGGTTTTAACATTTTCTGCTGATCATTTTCCATCATATATTTTTCTCTCAGTGCACCTGTGTGCGTGCCTTCATCATCAACGGACAAAATAATACAAAAAAGTGTGCAAAAAGTAGATGACGAAATGATTAATGGTCATTTAAGATTAGCTAAAGTCACATTCAGACATACTCTTAGAGGAAAGCTTAGCGGAAAGTGAGGGAAAAATAGAAGAAGGAAAAAAAGGAAAAAGGACGACGCACACGCCCCCGATTTGTTCGAGGGGCGGCGGCCCTTTCCTGTTTTTAGGTGGCTGCCCCGCCCATTTGTTTGTTTGTTTGTCTATTTACAGTTAGGTAGCCAATTTGAACTTTGAACCTCGGATCAATCAATCTGCTATTATGTTTATTGTTGCTCTTGTAGTAATTCTTACACGTAATTGCTTTTTGATTTTTTTTTTTTTTTGCCTTCGAATATCTGTGTATCTGAGTATCTGTGAGAGAGCCTTTTTGAAAATTGCATCATCATCAAGTCGTTGTCATCGTCCTAGTCCCCCGTCTTGATGGATTGGCAAACATTTGAACAAGACAGAAGGGAGCCCGAACCGGACCCATCCTCGGGGTCCATCCATCGGCATATGTTAAATATTCGATAGGAAGTCCTTGAAGCGAATCCCCATTGTATTTGGCTAATGGCGCCGTCGCCCTATCTCAACCTGCCTATCTCTCATCCCACACACATTTCTCTATTTTTAGGTATCGTGGATACGCAAAAAGGATTATCATCTGCTTACGGTCGGCTTAACAACCTACAGCAGCGATGAGCGATTTAGTGCCACGCACTTGAAGCATTCCGAGGTGAGTCCTGCCAACTAATTTGCATTGCTGATGGCCAACCTACGGGGGGTTAGCGAGGTTTTAAGGCAAGAAGCCCAAGCTGATTGCATCGTATCAGAGACCTGCATACGAAATTATATGCCAAACACTTGGGGGAAAGCAATTTAAGATTTTATTGAGATAAAATATAAATTTTGCAAAACTAAAGGAGAAATAATGTCTCTGAAAAATCTTTGGAGAGCCAAGTTAATCAAGTAAAACGTATTATTTAATACCTCTTCAGTTTTTTAATAATCTATAAGTCATATTAATTTTAAGTGATAGAAAACCCCTTCTTGATTTCTGATTTCTCCCAGTGCACTCTCCATCTTTGCTCTAGCCACCGCTCCCTGGTTGAATATTTGCTGCATTGTGAGCTTTTCGCCTCCGGTCGGCCTCGAATTGCCGAGACGTGACAAAAATTCAGTGCGGAATATTGCAAAATATTTTCGCAACTGCAGCGCAGCAAATTGACTTCCAGGCGGAATGGCCAATGTCATCTCTCCCCCCCTCGGTGGTCTTTAATTCTAGCATGTCCCCTGTTTTCCTGGCCTATTTTTTGTCCGATTTCCCCATTTCGATTCACTGTTTCTGTTTCTGAATTTTGTGCTCTATGTTCACATGTTGTTTTTCTTTTTTTGTGTCACTTGCAGGATTGGACACTGCAAATCAAATTTGTGCAGCTACGTGATGCCGGCGTCTATGAGTGCCAGGTGTCCACCCATCCGCCCACCTCGATTTTCCTGCACCTGAGTGTCGTCGGTAAGTAGAGGCCGGAATTGCCTCGGTAACGGCTACGGTCTCGTTTTTCGGTTTTTCGATCTGTTTTCTATTTGTGATTCGGGCGAGCACTGGGTGATTTTCTATAATTTCACGCCTTGATAGCTTTTCTGTTTTTCTGGCCAGGCCGAAACGAAATAAACAAATGCCGGCCGAAAAGAGAGTCCTCCGGAATGAGTCCTGAGCCAGCCACATTTTTGTGTTACGTTCTCGGTGCGCTCAAGCTGAAATTAGAAATGTCCATATGCCACAAAAAGGTGGAACGGGCCAGGAAGAGGAGCAGCACCAGGATTCGGCAAAGGGTTCGAAAGGGGTGGGCTTGGGTTGGAGCCCAGCCTGACTGACTGCGTTCTCATGTTACCAACTCGGTTTCGGTTCGGGCCAAATGGCAACGACTCAGCAAGTTCTCAACTCATCGCGCTGTCCTTGGCTAACTGACGCACATTATTCTGAATTTAACAAACAATTTACTTTGAATGTGCTGCGCCTAATGGCCTTTCTGCTTCTTGCCCAAGCTTCTTGCCGTTTTCCGCAAAAACAAAGCCACTTCGTTGGCCCACATACATGGAAACTGAAGTGACAGGCCGGGCTACACATTTTCCTCTGCTGCTGCTGGGCTGTCTGCCAGATGTATTTCATAAATTTTTGGGGGCACTTTCGGCGGCGCTCTGTGAGCCAAATTGATAACTGTCAGGGATGGATGCTAACCGATTTAGTCGCATGATAATAAAGGATTTGACTTTGACACGGTTTGACCCCAGGGAAGCTGAAAGCCAACCTTTGAACTGTATCTCAAAGGGGAACGAAAGGTCTAAGGTTAAAATAGCTACGCTTCGTTAATGCTAGACATATTTTTTCGGGGAAATAAAGGGGGAGTAATTCAGTTGGTTAAAAAAAGAAAGCAAGTTTATATATATTTTTTAACAATATACAAATTCGTGGAGCTGTTTCGGCAATGATTTAATGAGCTTTAGTTTTTAGATTCAAATAATATTCACTCAAATGCCCATAGTTGAGAACTTATAGAATGCAAATAGATACATAAATGTTTTTGATATTCATTGGCAAGGAAACCTAATATATTAAAAATATATTTAAATATGCTAATTTTTTAGGTAAATCAATTTTTTTAAAACTTCATAACTAAGCCAAAACATAATTAATTTCAATTCGGAAATCTGTCCCATGCAAGTTTTTGTTAGGCAAACAAATTGGCATACTTCGTTTAACATTTTAGAAAATTAACAATTTTGATCAAGTTTTAACAATTTTAACGATGTAACCAATTATAAAATTTTTAAATTTAAAAAAAATTTAATTTTTGCCGGACATGCTTAGATCGATTCGCCTTTTCATGCTGATCAAGAACATATATGTATGATTTATAGGGTCGGAAATGACTCCTTCACTGTTTTGCAAGATTCTGACTAAAATCATAATACCCTGCAATAGTATAGTACTATACAAAGCAAAAGTTGTCGCCAAAGTCAGAGTTAGTTTTCAAACTATCATAAGGAAATTAATTAAGTTTGGCTGTTTACTTTGAAAATACATATACAAATTGTTGCGTCACTATTGATTAAAACAATGTAATGGGTGCCATGGCAATAAGGGAATCCATTGAAAAATAAATGCATAGCTATCTATATAGATAATATAATTGTAATGGTTAAGACTTACCACAGTAGAGGACACACGGTTGATCATTGCTTAATTCCTTCCTTCTTGGTGACTTCCATCAAGATTTCCGTAGTATCATCGAAGTTATCCACATGTATTGCGCTGGTCAGTTCCACTGCTCAGGTCGCGATCACTAACACTTGCACTATCACAATCGATCTAAACACTTCGAAAGCCGCGGACTGAATGAGGCCAGAGCGGCGGTAGTGCCCCTATTTATAGTCCGCGAGTAAAGAGAACAGAGAATGTGAGAGCGAGAGAGTAAGTGAGTGGAAGAGATGCACACAGAGTGTAAGTCATACAAGGAGAGGGAGAGAGGTAAAGATCGATTGATTTTTCATTCTCTTCTATATTCAACGATCGCTGGCAGCTATACAATATAGCTATATATATATATATATATATATCAAGATTTCCGTAGTATCATCGAAGTTATTCACATGTATTGCCCTGGTCAGTTCCACTGCTCAGGTGGCGATCACTAACACTTGCACTATCACAATCGATCTAAACACTGCGACGGCCGCGGACTGAATGAGGCCAGAGCGGCGGTAGTGCCCCTATTTATAGTCCGCGAGTAAAGAGAACAGAGAATGTGAGAGCGAGAGAGTAAGTGAGTGGAAGAGATGCACACAGAGTGTAAGTCACACAAGGAGAGGGAGAGAGGTAGCGATCGATTGATTTTGCATTCTCTTCTATATTCAACGATCGCTGGCAGCTAAACGATATAGCTATATATATATATCAAGTATTCCGTAGTATCATCGAAGTTATCCATATGTATTGCGCTGGTCAGTTCCACTGCTCAGGTGGCGATCACTAACACTTGCACTATCACAATCGATCTAAACACTTCGAAAGCCGCGGACTGAATAAGGCCAGAGCGGCGGTAGTGCCCCTATTTATAGTCCGCGAGTAAAGAGAACAGAGAATGTGAGAGCGAGAGAGTAAGTGAGTGGAAGAGATGCACACAGAGTGTAAGTCATACAAGGAGAGGGAGAGAGGTAAAGATCGATTGATTTTTCATTCTCTTCTATATTCAACGATCGCTGGCAGCTATACGATATAGCTATATATATATATATATATTTATATGTATATATTTATATATATTTATTACGTGTCTTTTTTAATTTTAACTAAACACGAGGTTGGCTTGCTTCTAAGTTGTTACTTATGGATAAAATAAATGAATATGCTATAAACTCTTAGAAATTAATTATCATACAAAAAATAAGCTCCACGAAGCATACAAAATACTTCAAATATGCCCAATAGTTAAAACCTAGTAAACTTTAATTTCAATCAAAGTTTTTTTTTTTTGGTGGGTCACAATTTTAAGTTTAACCTGCAAGCCAAACTAATCCTATAAATTCTCCTCTCTACCATATTTTCAAAAAACCCCCCAAATAATCGATTGGTTAGAAGCGCGCGCCGAAATCTCCGGACCCCCCATACGATATTTAACGCCGGGCTCAACTCTGCGACTGCAATGCCGCGTCGTACAGAATACCGAGGCCTCCGAGTATATATTCTGGTATCACGACAACCGCATGATTAACTATGACATTGATCGGGGCATTAACGTGTCCACGGAGCCAGGTGAGTCCCGATACCGGCCTCTACCGTGCCAGGACCCCCTGACGCCTGATGTCCTTGTATTCATTGCAGACTTTCAATCATCCGAGCTTACCATCCAGCGAACACGGCGCGAGCACTCGGGAAATTTCACCTGCGTGGCCAGCAACACGCAGCCGGCCAGCGTTTTGGTTCACATCTTCAAAGGTGAGTTGAAAACCGAACAAAAGTTTAAAATCAAAAATGCCATTCAGCTGCTCCTACAATAAAAGCCACAAAAAAAGACGATAGATGCCATATTCTCATATAATAAAGAGGAAAAATAATTTAATTTGGCGTTTAAAAGAATTCAAAGGTTTTCTAAATAAATAAATAAACATGACTGAACCAATTTTTTGGGTCTGAATACTATATGAACAATAGTTTTACATAATAAAAACCTGATTTAAGCATGCCACAAAATTCTTTTACATGCCAATAATAGGGATTATAGTTCCCCAGTATTTTCAACAAATTCCTCAATACAATGCATTACCTTTTTTTTCTCTCAATTAAATATACACTTAAACCTGTTTTTGCCATTGCACAACCGAATTATGCTCCGTTCTCTCTTTCTCTGCCAGAAAAAATTTCAATTATGTCCGCCCAATGAAATTAAAACTTTGTATAAACAAGATAACTGCTCATTTGCGAATTCATGATATTTTTACATCTGTATCTCGGCAGCTGTATCTGTATCTGTATCTGCATGCTGTATCCCTCTATATCCCTGTATCCGGTAGCTCTTTCGCAGTTCATATATCAGCCTGATGCTGGCTAAGAGCGAAAACAATAAAAGTAATTTATGAAAATTACACGGCCGCAAGCATGTGGATTAAAAATGCCCGAGCACGGTGTGTGCCAGGCAGAGCCATTTGGCAGGCAAAACTGCCATTAAAGCCGGGCCATAAACACAGCGACAGGGAAAAGAAAGAGAGGAAACACAAAAAAGGGAAAGAGAGAGCAGATACAGGAGACGGTAGAGACTGCGACTAAAACAAAGAGTAGCCCACGTAGTTAGTGCTTGTCATAATTTATAAGTTTCTGGCGCGATGAAGCGACGACGCTCATTAGCATTTTGTTGGTTAAGCTCACATTTCGCTCCTTCTCCTCCTCCTCTGAGGATGTGTGTGTGTTTGTTTAAGCTGTGTGTTTTTTTAATTAAATTTTTGTGCAAATTTCATTTATACTCACACCCTACTTCTTCTCCCCCCCTGCTTCTTTTGCTTCCTTCCGCAGGCGACCATCCGGCTGCCATGTATCACGGCCATGTGGGCGGCTCCACGAAGACAATGCAGTCCCAGCTGCATATGATTATGATAATCATTGCCAGCGGCTATCGGATATTCCACACGAGTGTATATATGAAGATCGTGTAAACGCTTAAAGGTGCCGCGCGATGGCGGAGGAGAGAGCATTTGTAACTATGTCATCGGCAGGAGCCGGAGGAGCAGGATCCCCTCCCCCATATGGAGGCCCCTGAAGGAAGACCTAATCTAACACTAACTTTAGTTATTTCTCTACTACTTACTAATGGCATCTCCCGACATACATACGTACTACCCTACACCTTAAGCAGGGATGCCCGGGCAGGGGGCATCGCTGACCTACAGTCTAAGCCAAAACTATCAGAATCAAACTTAAGAACTCAATCTCTCTACATATGTCTAAAGTCGACAGGTGTGCATGTATACAGACAGCCCTTTAGTCCTTTAGTGCGTGTGTGCTTGTGTGTATGAGTGTTTTTGTTTCGTTAATGTATAAGTGTCGAACTTGGCCAAAAGGATGCAGCCTGTGCCGCAGATGTATTATATATAAAAAAAGGTAAACTTTGCAGACTACTAACGAAACTTAAGAGAGAGAGCGCGGGAGCGAGCACCAGGAGCTTTTATCCTTCAGATATTTTTCGTCAACTCAAGGATCCTTCGCGAAATCCTTGCGCGGCTTACACCAGCCCAGCTCAACGTTCAGAACTGACGTGCATTTCCAATCTAGAACTCATATTTTTACAAGTTAAGAACTTAGTTTCGGCAAGCGCAGCCACAAAGAGGGACAGACACTCAATCATTCGGATCTGATTTACGCAGCATTGTACAGACAACCACTTAACTGATTAAATGGATTTAGCTAAAGGAATTTGGTTTTACCCGAAGAGGACCTTGAGAATTAAGCTGTAAATAAATTATTTGTTAAACTAAACTAAACTAAATTACATAAATAAACTACTGCGGTTAAGTGAGTGGTTATTTGCACTTGATGCAAAAAAATTAAGTTTAAAGCAGTTTGGTAAGAAGTTGTTAATCAAAAAGAAAGGAAAACATGAGAAAACATAAGAAAAGGAAACGAAAACCAAACAAACATGAAGCGAACAGAGTAATCAAAATAAACTAATTGTCTAACTTAAGGGATATTTAGCAATTTTTAATTAGTGGACATAACTTTTAACTGTCTTAGCAATGGCGACTAACTAAAGGAGCATTCGGGGAGAGAAGGCTTCCATTGAGTATGTGTGTAAATATCGCAGAAATGATTTCTAGCCCGTAAGTCTGTGTAGTTAAATGTAACGAAAATTAACAAAACCAAGACAGAGAAAACCATCAAACGAAAACTGAAACAAATAAAACATAATAAAATTATGCAAAATATAAAAGAAAAAAAAACCAAGCAAGTCTTTAACTTTAAGGTGGCTTTCAGATTATTTCCCCGAGTATCCTGGGAGCGGCTCGATCCAATGCGTTGCCTGCTCCTTGAGCCAAGGATTCCCCATCTTGAGTTAATAAAACCAAAGTGTGTGGCGGCAAAATAGCGACGACGATGGCCCTGACGATGACGAAGATGAAGATGAAGTTGATGGCCTTCATCCGGGCGACACTTGATGCCTGTCCTTCGCCTCGGATTTCTGTTAGCTGAATCCTTGCTAGCTGGGTAATTAAGTTTTAAATTGTCCCACTTTCCACCGCAGAAACTTGCTCCGTTCAATGGAACTTTGATTTGTTGCTAATTCCATTTTTGTTGAATTGCGAAACCGAGTTTAATGAACTGCCCGGGCCATGACTCAGCCTCAAACTCAAACTTGGCTTAAACAACGGGTAAGAGTGGAATGTGCAGCTGCAATCCAATTTGATGGTTATGCTAACCGCATTTGAACGAGCAAACTCGGAACACAAAAGCAAACATGGACGCAGTAAAACCGAAAAGCAGATTGGGCCAACAGTGTTGGTTAGTGTGCCAATGGCCAAGAGGCAAAACAATAACAAAACCAAGTACAAAATTAAAAAAAAACACCAAGCAAAAACCAAAACAAAACAAAGGCAAGGCAAAGGCAGCAGCATCATCAAAAGTTGCCCACAAGAGGGAACAGTTTCTGCATACGACCATAAACACACCCTCAAATATATTGTTATTATGTGTTATATCAAAAGCCACTCCACTCCCTCACATGGGTGGGGGCGTGGCAGCCGCTGCAGGCGTCCAAATAGAAAAGTCAACTCAGCAAACATCTTTCCGTTGGGAGTTGTTGGAGCCAAGAGAATGAAGGACTGCCAGGCATTCCACATCGCATTCATTTACTCCACAGAAAGTCATAGAGACCAACTCTGATTTAATAATATTAAGAGAAGAGTTTAACAAGGTGCTTTAGAAATAGAGGACAAATATTTTTGACAGCAAGAATAAGTACTAAAATTAAAATAAAGGCTTTAAAATTGGTTTAAATGGGTGAAATTTCAGTTTGTATATTGCATTGCTTATTTGGTTTATTATCTGTTCATTAATGTTTAATATGTTTAAATTTTTATGAAATTATGCTCTATACGGAGAACAGATAAAATAGTACACCTAATAATTCTTTATATTTTTACAGATTAAATAAGAACGGAAGATAACTTCGAAAAGCCGAAGTTTTTATACCTCGAGTTAGTCATAGGGATAGCATGTTCAATCGATCATAACTTAGCCAAAAATTCACTAAATTCAATTCGGAAAGCTGTTCTGTGCTAGTTTTTGTAATGTAAACAAAACTGCATACTCTATTTAAACTTTAAAAAATGTTAATTTTTTGCCAATTTTTTTTTAGCTTTTATCTCTGTAACACCTTAAAAAATTTCGTAAATTTTGAAAAAAAAAATTTTTTTTTCAGACATAGCTAGATCGATTCTGATTTTTACGCTGATCAAGAATATATATGATTTATAGGGTCGGAAATGACTTCTTCACATAGATTTTGGCTAAAATAAGAATACCCTGCAAGGTAATACAAGTAAAATTCTTATTAATTATTTCCTTACGGAATACATTCTTACTAATGCTTTCTAGACTCTTTCAGTCAAGCTTAAGTTATAAAACCAACTTCTCAGCCTTAAAATAACCTCCTTTCATCATAAATTCCCAACTATTCTTAGCTCTCTCTTATCAGCAATTATTCGAAAACCCAAAAAGTAAGCAATTTGGCACAACAGAATTCCTTGAAGAGTCCAAATCGATGAGTCAAAATCAAGGCAGCCTTTGTCTGCTACTAATTCCTTTTGACATTAAATATACATACATTGCCCTTTTGGATCGGGGGCAGGCATTAAGTCATTCTCGACTGTGAATGGACCAGTGAACAGTAAAGGCCAAGAGGGCCAACAGCAGCCGGCCAAGTGAGGCGTGAATTTCGGCCATGTTAACGCTCAACGCTGCGAAAGAGGCAACCGAAAACGGGGCCTGAGGGAAATTTAACAAATGCAAAACGCATTATAACTGTATTTATGTGCACAGAGTGTGTTGTGTGTGTCCAGGGAGGAGGGGAGGTGTGAGTGTGTAAGCTGTTGTCGGTCAAATGCGCACACACAATGCGCATACGCCCCGTAAGCCCGCTGGCTGGCCATGGCTGATGCCTGATGCCTGTCATAAAAATTCCAATTTAGTTTCCAATTGCTCGACTTAAAGTGCTCCACCATTCATGCCAGTGTCCCTCCTTATATATGTGTGTGTGTGTGTGATGGCACTTCATAATAAACTTAACGACGCACAATTATGCTACAAGTTGGCAGTTTGGGAGAAGCAGAGACAACGACGCTGACGATGAATGCAGAGCCCAGCAATTTCGAAGGCAGCATTACGTTACTCATACGCCCCGTTGCCACTGCCGCTGCCAGTGTCTCTTGTCAGGGCCTCTCGCTTTTACATTTAGACGCGTCTTGTAATTCAAAATGACAGACACGTACAGCGGGAAAACGGCCTGTTGAAGCGCCCTGCCAATGGTTTTATTATCGCATACACCAGAGCCAGAAATCGATAGCCATTGTAAAAGTGGCAGACGAAGGACCTCTCAGAGCCATCACCATTCATTAGGGCATTAGTTTTGAGTGCATTGAGCACACTCCAAGCTCGGGACTTCTGACTCCTGACTCCTTAAGCTTGGCCCTCCTCCCTCCCCCTCAGCCGTAGACCAATTTAATTGAACTGCATCGAGTCGACCACAATTGAGAGTTTTTCACTTAGGTTATCCAAGCCACAAAATGTTGGCTAGCCTCACTGATTCTGAGATGTCAGAAAAATGTATGGAAATTGGTTTGGCAAAATTGGTAAATCATCAATTAAATTGTGGCTAGAACGTAGCAAATTGCAATTCAATTACCTAAGCAGCACCTAGCCAAAGAGTAAAAGATTCAAACTGCATTAATATTAAATATATAAGTATGGATATATAAAATTCCCTTAGCCTTGCTCTCCTGCTGCTTCACTCGGCAATCAAATCAACTCAAATCATGGATGGCTCCTGAAAGACTCTTAAAGCTGCTTACTGAATGCCCAATTACCGAAACTTTTACGGAAAAAGCACTTTAAGTTAACATCCCACAGCCATTAGCTCAAGGTCGTCCTCCTTTGTGTGCACATAATGGAAAGCAATTATTTGCCCAACTTCTTATACACGCACATCCCCTGGAAAGCAAACCGAAAACTCTGTGAGAATACAAAGTACACGCAGTTAGAGAGAGCGGCCGCAGATTAATCGAATGCGATTGAATATAGGTAGGCAAATACTCGTTGTACAACCATCACCTAGATCGAACAATTCCAGACTGGGGACCACTTCAAAACGAAATGGAAAAGTCACAGAAAGAAAGCTTGGAATATATCTTTATACATGTAAACAGGAAGAAATTTTGGATTTAATAAGGTAAGAACAAAAAAAGTCCAAATACTTACACAGCTTGGAATCTTAAGGTTGAATGTAAACTTCTCTGTCGTCAGTATTAACTATGCTCAGTAATTATCTATGACCAGTAAGATCAGTTACTAATTTTGAACACTAATTCCATTCCTAAGACATGGCTGGCAGAAGTCATTTCGTTCCGGGGATATGATATGATGTTATGATAACTATGATCAGTAAGTATCTATGACTAGTAAGTAACTCTGAACAGAAAGTATCTATGACCAATGAGTAACTCTGAACAGTAAGTATCTATGACCAGTGAGTAACTATGAGTAGTAAGTAACTCTGAACAGTAAGTATCTATGACCAATAAGTGTGTATGTATGATCAGTTACTAACTTCGAACACTAATAAACAATGACTTGCAACTTTTGTAACACAACACATTTCTGATACTTGGCCGGCAGCAGTCACTTCGTTCCGGGGATGTTAGAACCAGTTGAGAATCATATGCATAGAGAGAGATGTGATTTGGAAAAAATTTGAGAGCAAGCTATTTAAATGAAACTATGCAGTTATTCTTCTATATAATTTCACTAGTATATAAATCGGAGCATGACGAATCGGTGGACTATATATAAACATATATATATCTGAAATAGGAACAATCGGACGATTTATAAAACTATGATCAGTAATTAACTATGACCATTGATTAACTATGATCAGTAAGTTTCTATGAACATTAAGTAACTATGAGCAGTAAGTAACTCTGAACAGTGAGTATCTATGACCAGTAATTATCTTTGACTAGTAAGTTATATGATCAGTTACTAACTTTGAACACTAATAAACAATGACTTGCAACTTTTGTAACACAACCCATTTTTGATACTTGGCCGGCAGCAGTCACTTCGTTCCGGGGATGTTAGAACCAGTTGGGAATCATATGCACAGAGAGAGATTTGTTTAGGAACAAATTTAAAAGCAAGCCATATGAATGAAACTTTGAAGTTATTATTTTATATAATTTTATTAGTATATAAATCGGAGCACGGGGAATCGGTGGACTATATATGTATATATATAAAATAATTTAAATTAATATAATTAATATATTAAATAATTTAAATTAATAAAAATGGTGAATGTAAATTAAATTAAAGTTTAGAAATCTGAAAACTAAATTTTTGACAATTTTAACGATTAAACCCCTTATACAATTTTGAAGAAATTGACAAAAAATATGTTTTCGTACTTGCCTAGAAAGATTCGCCAGTTAATCCTGATCAAGGCTATTTATATTATATATAGGGTCGGATATGACTCCATCATGGTGTTCCAAGCTTCTAACTAAAATTCGAACACTTTGCAAGGATATAAAAATAGTCTTCGACTTATGATAATTGTGGCATACATGGCGTATACTTAACGTGAAACCCCTTAAATTAAGTATACGCCA